ACCCTAGGTACCAGCTTGACCACAATAGGTCGGAACACCAAGTAGGCTCTTGGGGTCCTGAATTCAAGGCCTTGGCTCTTGGGTGGCATTTCTGGACCTGCCCTGGGACAGAGAGGAGTCCACTGCACTGAAGGGTGAGTCCTAGGCCTGACAGCATTCATCACAAGACGACTGAAGAGCACTTGGGGCTCAAGGGAACAGCTCTCATTGCCTTGCAGTACTCCCCATAAGCCTGTGGTGTTGGTTACCATAAGGTGAAGTGCCTCTCCTTGTGGAAAAAGGAGGAAAGAGTGAGAAGAATTCTTTCCCATAGTTGAGTACCAGCTCAGCGGCACTGTAATACAACACCAGGTAGACTTCTAAGCTGTATGACTTCAGTCCCTGGCTCCTAGAAGGTAATACTGGACTCTCCCAGGGCCTAAGGGAACTTATCACCCTGAAGGAAAGGATAGAGGCCTGGCTTGCTTCACTACCTGCTGCTTGTAGAGACCCAGGGACGTAAGCGAACACAAGCAGTAGCCGGTAGTTGTTACAGCGGGTTTTGGCTGTGCTGCTGGCAGGTCAGACCTAACACAGTCCCAGAGGCTGAGGTTACAGAGGTGCTCATTTCATCCCACCCCAAACTCTAGAGGGCTCAAAACAGAGAGACAATCCATTTGTTTGGGAAAAAGTAAAGAAGGACAAGAAGAGTTTCTGCCTGGTGACGAAGAGAATTTTTTTCAATTTTATTCAAGACTATCAAGCCGTTACCTCTATGATCCTGCAAGAACTACAGCATTACTGGGCTTGGAGTTTCCCCTAATGCAGATACAGCTTAGATCTCAACACCAAAGTCCTTCCAAATATCTGGAAAGCCTTCCCAAAAAGGATGGGTACAAACTAGCTGAGTCCGCTAAGTCCACAACACATACCTAACTCCTCGATGCCCAGACACTAAAAAAATTAACATGTATCAAAAACTTCCAGAAAAACGTGACTTCAACCAATAAATTATACAAGGCACCAGGGACCATCCTTTCAGACAGAGAATTCAAAATTACTGTCTTGAGAAAACTCAAAGAAATTCAAGATAACACAGAGAAGGAATTGAGAACTCTACCAATTACATTTAGCAAATAAATTGAAATAATGAAAAACAATCAAGCAGAAATTATTGAGCTGATAAATACAATTCACATGCTATAGCATGTATCAGATTCTCTTAATAGCAGAATTGTTTGAGCAGAAGAAAGAATGTATCAGATTCTCTTAATAGCAGAATTGTTTGAGCAGAAGAAAGAGCTTGAAGACAGGCTATTTAAAAATACATAGAGAACCCCCCCCCCAAAAAACACACACAATGAAGCCCACCTACAAGATGTAGAAAATAGACTCGAAAAGGCAAATCTAAGAGTTATTGGCCTTAAAGAGGAGGTAGAGAGAGAGGGCTAGAAAGTTTATTCAAAGAGACAATAACAGAGAAATCTCCAAACGTGGAGAAAGATACCGATATTGAAATACAAAAGGATTATTGACCACCAAGCAGATTTAACCCCAAGAAGACTACCTGAAGGCATTTAATAATCAAATCCCCAAAGATCAAGAATAAAGAAAGGGTCCTAAAACTAGCAAGATAAAATAAATAAATAACATATTATAAAGTTCCAATACAACTTAAGAAGACTTTTCAGTAGAAAAGTCTGAAAAGCCTTACAGGCCAGGAAAGAGTGCTGTGATATGTTTAAAATTCTGAAGGAAATCCACTTTTATCCTAGAACAGTACATGTGGTGAAACTTGCCTTCAAACATGAAGAAGAAATAACTTCCCCAGATAAACAAAAGCTGAGGAAATTCCTCAATACCAGGTGCATCATATAAGGAATGCTAAAGGGAGTATTTCATCAGAAAGAAAAGAACATTAATGAGCAATAAGAAATTATTTGAAGGTACAAATCTCACTGGTAATAGTAAGTACACAGACAAATACAGAATAATATAATACTTAATTCTAGTATGTAAAGTACTCTTTTTAAACTATACTTTAAGTTCTAGGGTACATGTGCACAACTTGCAGGTTTGTTACATATGTATACATGTGCCATGTTGGTGTGCTGCACCCATTAACTCGTCATTTACATTAGGTATATCTCCTTAGTGCTATACCCTCCGCTCTCGCCCCACAATAGGGACCCCCAGTGTGTGATGGCTCCCCCTTCCTGTGGAAACTAATGAGATCACTTGGACACAGGGAAGAGAATAAAGTACTAAGGTAGAAAGAATAAACATGAACCATCAAAAGTATAGTACAATAACTTTTCAAGCACAAATTACTATAATGGATATAAGTGAAAGAGGGCCAGGCGGCAGTGGACTCACACCTGTATTAATCCGCACTTTGTGGAGGCTGAGACACGTGGATCATGAGGTCAGGGATCAACATCATCTTTGGCTAAAACATGAACACCCATCTCCACTAAAATACAAAAAATTAGCAAAGCGTGGGTGGCAAGGTGCCTGTAGTCCCAGCTAACTCGGGGAGGCTGAGGCAGGAAAATGGTGTGAACCTGGGAGG